CCACTTAAATGAACTTTCTTTCCTCCCAATTTCCATCACTCTTGTTCGTTCTCTCTATGTCTGGTCAGACATCAATCTGTTCCACGTAGCGCGCCCCCTAGAGGCCTGGAGCACTTCCGGAATGTTTTTTTTTTGTATGTGTTTTGGGATTTGTACGTGCTTTGGACTTTGCAATATTGTTTTGCTATTTTGCATGGGAGTTTTTTTGTTACGGTTTGTTTTCGGGGTTTGTGTGTTGTATTTAGTTTGCATAATTTCTGTAAATGCAGCGTTTTTCTGTTGTATTTGTTTTCAGGGTTTGTTTGTTTTTCATTTCATTATTTGCAGGTGTTTCCTGCTAATGTATGCGTTTTGGGCCGTTGTTCCGCATTTGCACCTGCCGGCAACCGTACAATTTCTATGGGAAGAGTGTCTCTTTTCTTGACCTCCATTTAACCCGGAATAGATCAATAGGGCAGTCGCTTCACTACCTCTTGTATGTGCAAATGTGTTTGTATTCATCTCACTGCCTTCTGCCTCCCTCGCAGTTTATTTTAGACCCAGCTCTTGTCACCTTAGGACAGAAGTGAACAACACCACATACTTTGTGGACTGTCTTATTGAAATAAAAGTAACACTTATTTGGCGATCGGAAAGACACATTTTATCTATCAATTTACAAAACCATATACTGTATGTTGCTTTTATTTCATACTATGAGTTTATGAAATCTATCCAATGGTGTACATCTCTAGAAATGAAAGCCCCCCCCCCCAATAACCAACACATTTAGGGAAGCATCTAGCTTTGAGTTTTCTTTTCAATGTAGGGATTTTCATTTTCATTAACACTGCAATAGTTGTATGTAAGTGAACCATAATGATATATTGTGGTCTACTTACTTTAAAATTAAATATCTGTGTCCAAATATGAACATATATTCACTTTTCTATACAGGAAAACAACAACATAAAAGCATTGTGTCACGATTCTTGTGTTATGTCACGTTTTTAGTTTTGTATGTCTTGTATTGGGTTTATTTTGCTGTTCGGTTATCCCTGTCATGTTTTCTTCCTTGTGTATTGTCTGGTCCCTCTCCCTGTGTTTTTCCTCCCTGTCGTTAGTTTCCCTGGTGTGTCTAATTGTCTGATTGTGTTCACCTGTCGCTCTTGTGTTTCTCCTCCCCTGCACGGCTGTTTCTCGTCTCGTGATTACCCCTCCCTGTATTTAGTCTTGTCTCTTCCTGTGTTCAGTGTTGGTTCGTCTTTTGTTGGTGACTGAGTTCACCGGGGAGTGTTCTGTTTGTCCGAGTTTAATTCTTATCCTTGAAATAAAGGTATTATCTGCATTTGGGTAGCTGGCTTGCTTCACTCCTACCGTAACACCATTGTTTTTGTGGCGTTCAATGGTTCTTTTCTTTCATGAATTGTCCAAAAATATTTTAAGATAGAAAAAACCAACACAGCATCTAAGTCCTATTTGGTAAGTTATTATTTCATACAGATAACATTCATAATCATAACCATGATGACTACCTATCCCCTGTGTGCCTTGGCAAGTCTAATGATTGCTTTGGTAATAGTAGAAAAATAAAAAATGGTTTTGGATTAATCAGTCTTGACAGCCTACATTTTCAGAAAAGAAAGCAGACTCACCACTTTAGAGAGTTAAAAGGGAAGTTAATATTCAAATAAAGTCACTTTTTGGTGGAATCTGCAGTCTTGCTTCCAATAATTATAGTGACTCATGTCTAACACTTGATGTTCCTATAGATACCAACCCCCACCAATTAGGCTACAACTATAATATTCACCGATTTGCTTTTGTCCTATGATTTAAAAAAAAAAGAAGCATGGCTGCATTTCTCGGCAGAGAGACAAAAAATATTTGGAGAAACTCCACTCGACTTATGCTGTTCTCAACAACACATCACCACGTCAAAAAACACCAACAATATTGAAGCACATGAGAAAAGATGAGAGAAAAGGATAAGGGGTGTACATTAGAGTATAGGTGGAGATGGAGCCTCCCTATACGGAGAATGAGATGAAGGTCATGGAAGAGAGGAGTGCACGGAAAATGAAAATCATGTGAGAAATCAACCTTTGGTGGAAATGTTGGATGAGGGAAGGGATATAGTTGTTGAGGCTCAGGATGTGGAGGGGGTTGTTGTCCTGGGAGTAAGAGTGGAATGAAGGAGAGAAAAGGGGTAGGTTGGATATTTTAGAGGGAGGGGAATGATTGAAGGGTGTTAGGATAAGATGGGCAAGATGAGGATGGTATTGCAACAGTAGAGGGTTGGCAAGGAAAATGAGTGGGTCAATGTGTGAGGATGAAAAAAGAGGTGAAGGCTGTGGTGAAAGAAATGACATGTGACGTGAAGGTATGAATATGAGGAAAGACAGAAGTCAATGTGGAGCAGCGTAGGAACATTTCTTCCTGCTTTCTTTATATATTTAATGCTGTCCACCAGTGCTTTTATTAAAACCATTACTTCCACTCCCTTTATCTCCAACCTGACATTGTCCAGGAAGGTAAAAAGCTAATGTTCTCAAAGTTATTTGCTGTGTCATTCTATGACATTTGCTTTCAGTTCTAAATTGATAATAAAATCTGGGAAATAAATGCCTATATTAATTAAACCAGATTAGATGAAGTTATAATGATCGCCTTGGGAAAATTGGTTCTTTGTGGGAGCAGAGAAAAGGATATAGATAAGAATGGATGCTGAGTATGAAAGATAACAAAAATAATTACAGCAGAATGCAGTGAAATAACAATTCATTAATTGAATGTGTGTTTGTGGCAGCCTAGTAGGTTTTTAGAGATCTGCACTAAACATACAAGGTTTTACCAATAATACTAAAGGCTTTATCAGTCTTACTAACTGTGGTGTTGTCCCAGTTCTTTCTGGCATTTCTCATTTTTTGTATGTTGCTAAACACTTGTTTTATTTGCAGAGACTTATCAAGGTCACTGTCTTGTGACTACCAACATAATTACCCAAGATATGATATTTTATAATTTCACAAATAAGGAAATAAACTTAGATACCACTAAGGTGAAGGGCATTGACGAAACTGAAACGTTGACTGTCAACACATTTCACACAACTGTATTAGGTTAGTTTAAAGCAATAATAATTAAGTTGAACCTAATATTATTATTTTTTTACTTAATATTATTGCTTACAATTCACCCAATACAGTTATGTTAAATCTGTTGACACAATACATTGAATTCAAGACAACGTTTCAGTTTTTTCAGTGTGGTAAAATATTTCTCCCACGTAATAATGAAATATGATCCACAAACACTGTTTTGTATCCATTGTCTATTCTGACTGGTCTTTGATAAGTGGCAATTGAAATATGCTTATGCAAGGGTTGCATAATAGCAACTTCACACATAGTGTTTTGGTAGGGACATTTTAGGACTGTAGGGTACATTTAAAACACTCCACACACACTTACTCCTCTCAAGCACCAATTGTTTTTTGTTATCTTAGTGGTCTAATAAAGGCAAACCTAATAACTTGTTGTGCTTTGACCCAAACTAATTTGACGATGAAGTCAGCATTTATTTGTTTTTTAGTTAAATGTTTTGAAGTTATTTACAGGCAATAAGGAATTTGATAAATAGCTAATTCAATATCAAGGAAAAGCCATAAGTTATGTTGCAAAGAGAAGCGGTCCAAACTTATGCTCAGCCTCACAACCAACTTGGAACAAACAGTCTGTAGATCTGTAGTTTGAGGTTCTGGGACTGTACGGCTAATTAATGACACAAAGGAAGGTTAGCCTACCCTGAATTAGCATGCACAAATGGCACCCCATAGAATCCATTCAATATTCTTTATAAAAATGAATATGCACAATTATGAATAATTGCTTCATGCCATAATAGATTGGCAATGTAAACTCTGCATTTCAATTAGGTACTTCATGCTTTTAAGAGATGAATCTGGAAGTGATCATTTATTAATCTTTATAAAAGCAGCTCTTTAGCCAGAAGCACTTTCATCATGTTTTTACTGGCCGTGTCTAACTGTGCTTGTGCGTGGTAGTGCATTCAGTAATATGGCATGTATGCAAGTGTTTGTTGACTTTGTTCACCTTTTTGCCCTGCTCTCTGAGCTGCTTATTTGATAAAAGATGAACTCAAGCTTTATCTGTCTGCAAGCACTGACACGCATTGAACGAACTAAATGAAATCACATAATGTTGTTTACGTAAATGACTTCTATTGTTTATTTTGTTATATTTCTTTAAACTGAGTCACTCGTAAGACTTTTTTTCTTTTTTTCGCCAAAAGTTCACCTTTGACTTTTGAGAGCTGTTTCACCAAGCTGCTGTCTGACTGCACGGAAGGAGAGCTGGAGAGAGGGAAGGGGATGAGTGAAAAACATAGGGTGTGATGTTTTGAATTAACTCAGTTCCGAGTATCATCATTATCTCCAGGATTCAAATCAAAATTGAGTTCTTGGATGAAGCTCAGTTGCTATTTTTTTTTTAAACGTTGCAACATTTATTTGAATTGCATTGATACATTGTTCCTTCTGCATAAATGTCAGTGGAGTTATCTCCTCACTTTTTTCCTCTATCTCTCTTTTTGCCTTCTCCCTGATGCTGCCCCTTTTTTATCCTCCTCCCCTCCCCCTTAGCCCTCTCTCCCTCCCCTTCTCCTTCACTTCCCTCCCACTTTTCTCTCTCACTCTAAAGAGCACTCAGTCTCTGTGCTCCCCTTCATTTCCCGCTCCAACATGTTGGCAGGAGGAGAAAGAGGAGAATGCTGCGCTCTACCCTCGGTGCATTCTTGCCACCTCTCCGGCCAGCGCACGCTGCCTCTGACTCAGCCTCAGCGCTCAGTTGTCTCAGCCTGAAGGACTTAAGACAGGAGCTGGAGGGGGAACCAAAGGATACACTGGAGACCAGGAGCTCTCACACCAGGGTCCTCAACAGGAACAACAACAGCAGGAGAGCAGACAAGAGCAACTGCTACTCATCTGTGGTGGAAACCACTAATTCCTCAGCAGTGACAACCTCTTCTGCCCCCTCTAGCTTCCATCCCTCCTCTTCCTCCTTCTCGGCTCCAAGATCCATGTGGCAAGAGGCAATAAGGAGGAAGCGGTATCTCCTGAACCGGCCAGGGGAGTCTGGTGAAGGAGATAAAGGAGGAGGGAGAGGACAGGATAAGAGGAACAGGTCCCCGGATTGGCTGTATGAGTCCTACTACTGTATGAGCCAGCAGCATCCTCTGATTGTGTTTCTGCTGCTCATAGTGATGGGAGCCTGCCTGGCTCTGCTGACTGTGTTCTTTGCTTCAGGACTGGTAAGCTTCTCATTTACACTCAAACATTCACACACATGCATTTTGCAAATCAAATAAAGTACAAGTAAACAAACAAGCAGGATAATGGTCACGTGCATGGCAATATGTGCAGCGAGATCCTATCTATTGTACTATCTGTGTGAACAGTGTGGACATGTGCTGTCCACACACATATTGTGAACTCTCACATGTTTTACAAGCATGCATAGGAATCAGGGTCACACCAACTATCTTGCCAATTGTGTGTACACACACACACTTGTACACACACATCCAAAATCCCCTGGCATGTCAAACACAATACACATGCTCCTCTTCCTCATAGACTCATGCACACATACAAACATGCATACTTGTGCAACACCTTTATGCACGCACACTCTTGCAGCATGCGGTCCTCATCGCAGCACTAATGCGAGGAGAAGGGTGAGATAAAAGTGAGGGGGGAATAAGCGGCTTAGCTATTGTGTGAGCGCATGCATGACTGAACTACACAAAGGAGATCTGTTTCCCTCTGTCACTCTTTTGACACGGTTATATTTGCTCTTTAAATCTAAAAAATTCAATGTAATTCAGGCAAAGCTAATTTAATAAAAATGATGTAAAGAAAAAGAAAATAATGTTGTGTTCATAATGACATATTAACACAATATAATGACACATTTAAGAGGATATATTAAGATGAATATAACATTTTTGCTTTAGGGGTGCCCTTTTCCATTCCCTGTCTGCTATAAAGAAGAGATATTGTGAAGTTGTTTTCATGCAGTGTAACATATAACAAACATATGGTGCCATCAGTAAGATGAGTGTTTGGACAATCAAGACAATCAATCACTGTTATGACTCATTACCTTAGCCACAACTGTTGTTCCTGCCCATGAAGTCACTAATTGATAGCTTCGCTTTGGATTCATTATTTCATCCAGCTGGCAGTATGTGTGTCAAAGCTTGGGAAAAGTGTGAAAGTGTAAATTAACCATCAGCTTAAAATTAAGTATTGATGTAGAGTTAGAAACATTTACAATCCAGAGTATTAAGGAAAGATATTCCCCTAAAATCTGATATAATTCAGTTTTCCTGTCAAGCCACTGTCAAGTCAGTGTGTCCTACATATACTCTTTTTCTCTATCCTTGTGCTGGATGGGCATGGCTTTAGCTACTCCCTTTTTTCCCTTCCATCTCCCCCTGTTACTCTGCAGGCTCGTTACTGTGTCATGTCTCACCTCCTCATATTTCTGTCTCTCTTTCATTGGTATCCCATCATCCTTCCATCCTGCCATGGCTGACCTAAATCCTAAGCTTTTTTGGAGCTCTGCTTTGGGCGAGACAGACTCTCTGTGGCTCTCTGCAGCCACTAATATCCTCTGCCTTCCCAGTGCATTGACTGTGAGCCTATGGAAGAGACAGAGGAAAGGTGGGGGTGGGGGGCTAAAGCAGGAGAAAGAGAGATTGGTAGAAGAAGGAATGAGTCCTGATCTTTAGTGATTTTCAAGCATGATAAATAAAAAAAACATTATTGAATGTTATTGTAACAGCATGCATGGCTGTTATAATTTAGAAAAACTAGTAGTAGTAGTTCAAAGAAAACCTTTCTTTCATTTGCATAATGCATTACAATTTACATGGTGAATATTAAACGTTTTTAAAGATCAAAAATACATTAGAGAGCAAACATAGCTGTATGCGTGAATTAGGATCTAGTGTCAGCAAATTAGGTTTGAGATTGAATGAAAAGAGTGTTTTTCACAGGATTCTATGAAACAATCAGGGGGTTTGCCAAAGTCTTTTGGAGGTTTTTGTGGCCGCAAGGAGAAGCAAACTACTGTAGGAAATAAGGCACATTTTTATTGGTTGATATCTACTTGCCTGCATATCCGTATCGTGACCCTTTCCCATCCCCTCACACTACTGGCAAATCAGTGATGTGATGAAACCTGGCAAAGGCAGGCAGCACAAACGGCTCATTTCTCTGTGCTATCCTCCAACATCTACCTTGAAGAAACTCCTGAAATTTTTATTAGAACTTTCAGATCTAAGAGTGTTTCAGAAAGGCAGCAGCAAATCCATTATGGATGCGGCTCCAACTTTGCTATTGGTTAAACTAGGGGCTTTTTAGCGTTTTCCTTCACTCAATAAGATGTACTCTCAGTAGGAAGGTTTTTCTGCTTTTACATCTATGTATGGAAAACAGGATATGGACCAATATTGTCCATGTGTATTAAAATAACCATTCTTAAGAGCAAATAAATTGTAAACTCCATACTTAATTTGCTTTTATCGAGCCATGTATACGAACATTTTTTTATATTCTACAAAAATTAAAGATACTATGCCATCCACTCTTCTAGCTCAAGTGAAAGATAAAATACAAAACACAATAGGTGGTATTTTGTCTTTCCTTGGATGACAGGCAAAACAGACCATAGTTATTCTACACATATACATTGAATGCGCTATTTAACACATTTTAAAAATATACTTATTACTTACAATTCAAAAGGAGATGCCCATTCAATCTTCTCTCGCTTTTTACTATGTAACTTTACCCTCTTAAGACTCCTTATATTTGTTGTATTATATGCTATTTCATTCTGTTTTTGCAGCCTGCCATTCATTCTGAGACATGTCACAATTTCTTGTGGATGTATATACAGAGCACAAATGCATTGGTTATATCTTGTCACTGACTCCTTACATTAAATAAAGCGGGTTGATTTACGCACCTTGTTGTGCTGAGAAAGTCGAACATTTACAAAATAATTTGTTTTCTGTTTTTACTGCTTCTCTGGGTGAGTCACTGACATGTCCGCCTTGGTTGTTTTTGTTTTTGCAGGACACTGAAGATGAGTAACGGGGCTAGAGGCGTGGCATTTTATAACACTGAGAGGCTGTTTCATGCCCCCTTAGACGTCTCTGTTTTGCTGTGTTTACCTCTCTTCAAGATTCGTTCTTCACCTGTTATCTGATGCATTGCATTTCTTCCCCTCTGTCTTAAATCACGTGTCTCCTGTCCATGCCTCACTTTCTCTTGTAATGCTCTACATTTTGTATCTTTTGCTTTTTTTCAGAACATTGAGGACCACGTGGCCTTTGTAATCACTGTGCCCACGGCAATGGCTATCTTTCTGGCTGTTTTTGTACTCGTCTGCATTGAGTCTATCTTCAAGAAGCTTCTACGTGTTTTCTCCCTGGTTATCTGGGCATGCTTGGTTGCCATGGGTTACCTGTTTATGTTTTCCGGTGGGATCATCTGTCCATGGGATCAGGTAAGATTTGTTGGTGAATTGATTTGATGTATAGACACGTGTGGTTTACGCTACTCTTAGTAGCGTAAGGAAAAGCCAAAACAACTGATTGTGAATGACATATTTGTGTATACAGTACAGTACATGGTTCACTCCTAGTCCTAGGTCTCTCTCTTGAAAATGGAATTCATTGGAGTGCCTAAAACAAACTGAACATGATTCAAATATGAGCACATAGGGGATACGATAGAAATGTAGGCCAATGGATTTTGGATATAGCTGGTGGATGATTGTTATTTATCACCTAACTCTTTTTCCTATTAAACTGAGTTCTCCTTTGGTTAATGGCAACATCTGTGGGGATTGTGCTGGATTTGCACATGTTGTGAAAGTTCAGGAAAGAAGTATCTACAAATGATTTTGCCGTAAACCAGCATGAAAGCTAGTAACAAGGGGAGACAGAACATTTACTTGGCTTTTATTCACTCTATGTTCTATTTGAGTTTGCTTCTATAATGCCTAAACACATATGGGTTTTTATCAGACCAAATATTGTTTTTTAGTCTATGATGAGAGCGTATTGTGTGCAGATTATCTCCTGTCTATAGTGTGGAGTGTAGTTAAACATGGATACATGTGAAACAGGACTTTGGGATTCAGAGGGTTTAGGAAACAAATGCCCTGAAGTAAACCAATGAAAAATGTCTTATCATAGTGTGAGTTATATCCACCTGCATTATTTTTGACCTGTTAGTCATCACAGTTATGTATCATGTGTCAGACCTTTTGACTTCAAATCCACAGCTACATCTGACTCAGATTCTGTCCAGTTAAAGCCTTTAAAAATAGGACGTTTGGTCCTGCATGTGACATCCATTCAGTTGCTTGTGTTTAAGTTTACTACTCACACACATTGAGCAGAAATTCGGAGCACAAAAAAAGGGAAAAATGTATAATACAAAAACAAGAAATGTGGGGTTTAGTTATTTAGTGAGAAGTATTAAAATGGCTTACTATTTAACTGTTTAATTGTAACTACTATTTCAAGGGATGTGTTTGTATAGATTAAAGCTACAAAAGCTACAAGCCACTGTATATGGAGTTGTACTAACAGAAAAGTGTATTAAGGAAGCCTGGCCAATTCTTTATTTTTTTTTAAACTACTGTATATCAAGTAGTATAACTCAATAGATGTTTATATCCAAATATTTGCCAGCTTCAAGGGAACTAATGCTGAATTACTGAGTATGTAGCCCTCTTATTATACGGCAGCAGATGAGTCAGAATGCATAACAATGACCGTTGATCTGAAAACAGTTTTCTTATGAAATTGGACTATTATTGCATGTTTCAGTGGTAGTGCAGCGGATATGATTTAGTGTTATAGTAAAGCAGTAACAAGTGTAACTGCCCATTTGTTTCACATTTTATTAAAAAGAAATACAGCTTCAAGTCTTCTTGTAATATAGCCATTTACTATTTGCTGTGTATATTCATTCTGTATACATCTGAAGGTAAATGTGGCAAGACGGACAGCATCATTTTCATTTACTTGCTGCATCAGGGCTCATTGAAAGCAGCACAGCACATTAGGTCTTCAGCGTTTGAAAGCTGTGCTCATTCAACAGTACTTGGCAAAATAGATGTCTGATGTGGCCGTATCTATCACAAAGAGGTAGCTAAAGATGCTCTGATTCACACGACACTCCATTCATTCCCTTCTTTTGCTTACCAAAAATTGCAGGCCATTATGCTATTACTGCTCTGTGTCCACTGCATCTCTGCCATGCTAATTAATACGTATCTGAAGAGATATTGTTGTCGACTGGCATTGCCTCATGAGTTTTTAGAGGCTACTGCCATATTATAGATTATACTACTTTAATCTAATTGACCACTCGAGAGAACAGAGATGTGCTGTTTGCCAACAAGCCAGGATAAATGAAAAACAATATTAGCTTTCTATTTGTCCACTTGTTTGGCATCCCTTCAAAAACACTAATCACCACACTTAAAGGAACATATTTGTATCTCTTTGAAACGGTGACTTAAATAAATATATTATGTAAACAAATTACACACAATTGTAATTGAAGGCAATAATATTAAGTTTAAATAAAAAGTAATATGTTCAATTTGGGACTATTTTTTTCAACTAACATAATACAATTATATGGAACCTGTTGACATAATACATTTAAGTCACTGTTTATTTGTTTTTCAGGCAGGATCCAGCCACTAAAACATGCATTACGTTTTCACTCTAAAGTGACTGTCCTTTCAATCAACCGTTTTAAAAAAAAACTATCTTGCTTTATTGAAATAATGAATTAATGTTTACCGAATACTATCAGCTGGCTAAGTAACTTGGTCCCCTTATTTTACCTTATCTGTATCTGAATTAACATAATGCTTTTCCAAAGCCACAGGGTTGGCATACTCAGCTTTGTATATTTTGACTGATGTGTATTTCTTGAAACTAAAATAAAAAAGTACCTGGAAGCTGAAGGGATCAGCAATGTCATGCATAGAATATTTTGCTGAGTGTTTGGTAAAGTGCCATAACTTTACGTTGATAAACATTTGCATTAAAATATGAAACTAGATTTTGTTTGTAAATCTGTATGAGGTAAAGGAGGCCTTTTTTCTTTTTCAATCCATTACTGCCAGTATTATCGTCTGTGGCAGCTAACAACAGTTTATCCATGCCGATAACTCTTAGTCCTACAAGCTGTCAAGCTAGAGTGAGAAAAATGCAGGTATACTAGAAATGCTATTAAACCCTTACTTGATGAATGTCTTAGCAATATTTCCCAACTCTTAGTCCATTTATTTCTAAAAAGCTAATAATTTAACAATGTTTCAGACTATAGGGAAAGCGAGAAATATATATGACATTTTAATTCCTTCCCATGCTTGCTGCACATTGTAAAGAGTAATCACAATTAAGGATAAAATGGTAATTTATTGTCATTTGGTTTTGCAATTAAATGCACTTATAAACAAAAAACAATAACATCTTTCCACGGTGAATGAAGGATAAGTTCAGAAGTCCCACAGCCTGAAGAAGAATGGAATGTCAACAGATACGTCTGCATTGGTCTGGAGTTGGGCTAAACAAACCCTCAATGCACAGAATTTGTCTAATTTTAGTAAACTAGTTACTGGAGTTTCTTGAGAAATCATAACAGCTTACTTCTGTAATTCCTTGCCAGATGGCAGCAGGGGGAACAGCCTTTGAGGGCACTTCACTCTTCAGCACTTCAGTGGATGCGATGTGAACTACCAATCCTGACTGCCTGTTTGTGAGGAAGACCAATATCCAGTTGCTGAGTGTGGTACTGATGCCCAGGGGGCTAAGCTCAGTTTCATGTGGGGCATTGTGTTGAATGCTGAGCTGAAATCAACAAACTGTTTTTTAATGCAGTTGTTTTCCAGAAATGTGTGGGCTCAGTGAAGGGGAGTTGAAACGGTATCCTTTGGATCTTTTGGCACACAAACTGGTTAGAGTCCAGGCTGGCTAGGATGTTGTTTATCCGATGTGATGAAGAACTAGTTTCTCTTGGGCTGTGCAACAGTATTTAAATGAGCCAAGGCTGTCAACTGGAAACTTTAAGCACATTTTGGATCTAGTGTTAGTAAGCTATTTCAGTCTGTTCAGTGATTAAGAAGTCAACATTAATGCCAGGGCAGTTAGTACATAAATAAGAATAAGTATAAATGCTACCACTCCCCAAGACTGGTAATAATCAATTTCAGCCCTACATTCAGTAAAATATTTGAATTGAAAAGTCACTAATGTTATATTTAGATTGATGTGTTTACTGTTGCAAATTTGGCAGGTTGAGTGTGCTTTTGACATGTGGACATTCATCATAATTAAAGCCACCAACCATATTGGATCTCCACCTATTGTAACATTTGAAGAAATTGCCCTGCTGCAATCACTTAATCCTGGACTTGGAGCATGCAAAGCATTTGCTTATAAGCCAATTATATTAATAACAAATAATTTCAATCGTTCTTTGTCCTGATGTTACTGTGCAGTTGCTTAGTGTATGTCTGCTCTGGATAAGTAACAGGGGGAAGGAGAGAAGGAGAAGTAAAAGTAAGAGTTAATTAAATGCTCCGTACTGTAGCAGGGAGGTTACCATGAGAAGTAGGGGAATTAAACCATGATTAAACAGAGGGCATCATGCTCTCTCACCAGCTCCACTGTCATGTAAAGCCCGGAGCGCATTAAGGATGATGTCTTTCGTCCCATGTCATTCATACAATGTTGCTGTTGCTAGTCAGTGGATGAAAATGTTGCTAACCATGAACACAATTAGAAATTCCACATTTTACATACGCAAAACAATTAAATTAAAGACTAATAACTAAAGCACGTAAGTTGCTAAGATACCAGCATGTCCTGTAATGTGCTTTAAATAGCAGACTCAAATGTCTGAATAATTAACAATGTGGCTGGCAAAAGAAAATTGGTCACAGAGAGGTGGAGCCCTGAATGCATACATTATTTTTAAATCTGGGGGATTTCTTTCTATCTGAGCATTTTTTTCATATTATTTCCATCCTGATACACAGTGATTCTTGTTGACATTTTTTAAATCCAACACGTACAAAGATATGTATTTCATGTAGAGTGACAAAAAGCGTTGTTAAAGCAGTCAAAGGGTCTGGTATTTCTCTCTGAAGTTTAAAAAAAAAAAAAGAGCAGAAAGAGACTTAATTGTGGACTTACATTCATTAGATGGGAGAGAAAATTCAATTAAATGAATGATAGTATTACAGTGTAACTGACTGTGTAAATAGGCACGGGTCAGATAATGGAATTGAAAGCCAGTGTTACATAGGCCAGATTTATGCAGTGATAATTTTAGAAAAGAAAATGTGTGTATTTTTGATGATTAGTTTTCTGTGACATGGCCTTTTTCTCCAATCATCCACAGTGACAGTGATAGCATGTTGTCGTCATCCTTTAATTAAAGTTATTCTGTTTGTGGTTTTATTTCCAAAGT